AGATCCCATTGGTAGGACCACACAGTAATGCATTGGTGACATGATAGTCTGTAAGCTGACCCACATGGGTAGATGGCTGGTTCAAATCTGGAAACTTACCTGAGTATGTCATACATGCACATGCCCATGATTTGGGTTGGTAGAAGCTGGGAGTAGATTATGCATCAGGCCCTGTTGGGGCTCCTAATCTCTGTCTACCTTGTTCAAGGAAAAAATAAATAAACTTTAAAAAAAAAAAAAAAACTGCCTGGGGAATTTCTTGTTCTAAAAGTTTGGAGGTCAGCCCTATAGCACAGTGATTAGGGAGCTGGAAGGTTTGAATAAAAACTATGTTGGAGGTACTTCTCTATTTCCGTCTCTCATGGAAGAAGTAACTTAAATTTTAAGTAAGTATTCGTTTTGTTTTGTTTTGCTGTTTTTACACATCTCCAACAGATTTATTTTTTAAAGGAACGGTTTTGAGAGAAAAAAAAAAAAAACATGGGCAGAGAAGTATGGAATAGAAAATAAATACAAATGTAAGCTGTTTTGGGAACCAGCAGTTAGCGTAATGGCTATGTCTCTGGACTCCCACGTAGTCGACCGCGGTTCGTGTCCCGGACCCTTGTTTGCCAATAAATGAATAAACTTAAGTAATTACAGTGAATAACATGTCCTTGTCTTTTAAAATAAAATAATTACACTTATTATTATTTACACATCTCCAACAGATTTATTTTTTAAAGGAAGAGTTTGGAGAGAAAAAAAAAAGAAGAACATGGACAGAGAAGTATGGAATAGAAAATAAATACAAATGTAAGCTGTTTTGCTAATTGTTTTATAACCACAACAAACTAGTACAGAGAATGCCCTGTGCAAAACAGTAAATTTTCAAAGATTGAGGTGTTCCCTTAGCAAAGCTGAAGATTTCAGTCTCTAGTATTTGGAATTTAGGCTGCAGTTCTTGTTTTTGGATGGATCACTGGGTGTGTGGCATAGTCCATGCTTTTAACCAGATTTGAACAGGAGAATGGTCACTTAGCCCAGATAGAAGTAGATGAAGTGTTTGGTTTCATGTGTCACGTAACTACTGAAGTTTGTGCCAGATGGGGTTGTACTTCTTGTCAAACTCCTTCTTGATATGGGCCACAATGTCCTTTTCTATATTATATTTCTCCAACACCTGAGTTGTGCACTCCACTGAGTCCTGTTGCATCTCTTCTGACATGTCTGCATTTTTGATCATGGCCTTTCCATCGCACATGGTTACCATGTTAACAGGGGCTGGCTGACAGCAATGGTCTCCTGGGGAAGGTACTTGCATAGCTCAGACCCAGCGGGAACTCCGGTCGCTACCAGCGCATCTCACAAATATTTGTTTTAAATTCAGAGGTTTCCTTTTTTAAACTCAAAAGTAGAAAAGACAACCCATAAAATGGGAGAAAATATTTGCAGATTATACAACTCATAAGGGACTCATATCTAGAATTAATTCTTAGTACTTAAATAAGTAACCTAATTTTAATAAGCAAAGGGCCCAGCCTTGGTAATGCAGGTAGTACTATACTGATCTGCAGTGCAGAAAGCCACATTGCACAGCATAGGTTTGGATCACAGGTGACTGCACACCTAAGACCCTGAGTGGCTAGAACGCTAAGGAAAGGTGTTCACAGCATGATAAATCTCTATCAGGGATGCCTGAATTTCTCTTTTTCTCTCCTGCTTCCCCTTTTCTTTCACTCACATAAGCTCACTCTATTGTATGAAAACATTTTTTTTAAAAGGGGGGCAAAAGATCTAAATAGACCATTCCTCAAAGAAGATAGATACGTAAGTGGCTAATATGCACATGAAAAATACTTAACATCATTAGCCAGCAAGGAAATACAAATCAAAACCACAGTCAAGGCTGGCCCTATAGTCTAGTGGTTAAGGGAGCCAGATCCTGCAAAGTTAACCATGGTGCAAATCCTGGCCCCATGAGTTTGTGTCCATGCATCCCCAAAATTCTAAAATGAAGGAAGAGTAGAGAAAAAGGGAATGTGGCATGACCACATATCCTCAGGCAATTAAAAAAAGATTATATAGGGCCAGCAGGTGGCATGGTGGTTAAGGTGCTGGGTATCACATTCAGCTGAGTCTGCAGTTTATGTCCCACTTGTGGCAGCTTGAAAATCATGCTGGACATATGTGCATGCATGTCCAGAATCCTTAGAAGAGAAGGGATTGTGGTGTAACCATATTCTCCCTGGGGTGATTCCTCTTGTTCCCTCTCTCTCTGCCTCTGTCTCCAGTGAGCACATGTGCCCTGTAGCAAAAACCTAAAAATTTTTTAAAAAGAGAGAAATATGACTTCATACATACTAGAATAGCTATAATCAAAAAGATTACAAGTGGGGGCCAAAAGGTGGCATAATGATTAAGGCTCTGGACTCACATAGCTGACTGTGGTTTAAGTCCTAGACCTAACAGCTTGAAACTCATGCCAGCCAAGTCTGCATACATACCCAAAATCCAGGAGGAGAATGGAGGAGAAGGGATTGAAGCATGGCCATCACTCTGGGGAGTGATTTCTTTCTTTCTTTCTCTCTTTTTTTCTGTCTGTCTGTCTGTTTGTCTGTCTTTCTTTTTTGAGAGGTTTTCGCTAGGGCATATGGGCTTGCCAGAAAGACAGAGACAGAAAGCGAGAAATCACCGCCCAGGGGGGATAGCCACGCCACAATCCCTTCTCCTCCATTCTCCTCTCGGGATCTTGGGCATGCATGCACACACGCCCAGCAAAAGTTTAAGCCACCAGGTCCAGGACTCTAACTGTGGTCGACTACATGGGAGTCCAGCAACATAGCCATTACGCCATCTGCTGGTCCCAAGGGGGAGTGATTTCTTAACTTTCCCTTTCACTACCTCTTCAGTGAACACATTAGTTTGGCAGTTCCTCAGAAGTTTAAGCAGTTACCATATATCCCAGAAAAGTAGGTTTATATCCAAGAGAAAACATGTCCATACAAAAACTTGTACACAAATGTTCACAGCAGTATTACTCATAATAGCCAAAAAGTGGAAATAATGTCCAAATGTCCATCAACTGATGAATGAATAAACAAAATGTGTTAGGTCCACACAATGGAATATTATTCAACTGCTTAGTGGGGTCTGAGCTTCTAGAGCTTTTTGAATCCCAGCGAAACCACTACTTTTTTTTTTTTTTTTTTTTTTTGAGAGAGATTTTCACTGTAGGGCGCGTGCGCTCGCCAGACAGACAGAGAGAGACATAGAGACAGAAAGCGAGAAATCACCCCCCAGGGGAGATGGTCACACGGCAATCCCTTCTCCTCCATTCTGCTCTCGGGATCTTTGGCGGGCACGCACACACACACGCCCGGCGTGAGTTTTAAGCCACCGGGTCCGGGACGTGAACCACGGTCGACTACGTGGGAGTCCAGCGACATAGCCATTACGCTAACTGCTGGTTCTCGAAACCACTACTTCTGAAAAATATGCTCAGCAAATCAGTGAGATGCACTGAAAACTGCAATGCCTCTAACTGGCATTAGTCAACAGAAAGGGCCTAATTCTCCAAAAATGCCCACCCAACTGCACATTGAACAGCTAGTGCTTCAAAAACTGCACCAATTGGGGTATGGAGTATTGCTTCATCTACCATGTTCACCTGATGTCTGACTACCACATTTGCAAGCATCTCGACAACTTTCTGCATGGAAAACACTTGCACAGCCAGCAGGATGCAGAAGATGCCTTCTAAGAGTTCAACGAAACCGTAAGAATAGATTTTTACACTACAGGACTAAGCAAACATTTCTCCTCAACAAAAATGTGTTGATTGTAATGATTCCTATTTTGATTAATAAAGATGTGTTTGAGCCTAGTTACTATTTAAAACTCATGGTCTAAAACTGCAATTGCTCGTGCACCAAACTAATAAAAAGGAATGAATATAAAGACGAGATTTCCTAGCGATGGGGAAAGGATAGGAAAGGAGAAATGACTGCTGATAGATTTGGGGGTTTCTTTGCAGGGATATTAGTTCCATAATTTTGAATATGCTAAAAGCCACTGAATTGTAGTCTTTAAGTAAATAAATTGTCTATGCTGTTAAAATCAAAACCAGGGCCAGCCAGTGGCATGGTTGTTAAAGAGGCTGGGTCCCACACGGCCCAACTATCTGGTTCATGTCCTGGACCCAGAAGCTTGAGAAACGTGCTAGGTGCATGTGCATGCATGCTCAAAATCCCGAGAAGAGAAGGGATTGCAGCATGGCCACCTACTCTGAGGGGTTCTTTCTCACTTTCTCTGTCTCTTTGTCTCAGGTGAGCACATGTGCCTTATAACAAATTTAAAAAAAAAAAAAAACGAGCAAATCCCACATATCCACTTCCTTTTTCTTTTTGTTTTCTTTCTTTTTCTTTTTTTTTTTAATTGCCACTGGGCATTTGTGCTTACCGGAGAGAGAGAAAGCTCATGTGGGATGCTGCCTTTCTTGCACAGCACTAACCTCTGCACCACAGTGCCAGCCCCTAGTTTATTTTTTAAATGGCAACCAAATTATTAGAACACATACTTACCATGTTGTTTAAAATTTACTTGAGAAACAAAGCCATTTTGTTGATCTAGGAATGTCATAGAGAAATTACTGAGACACTCAGGGCTCTGAGAACCAGAAAAGCTTAGAATTACCATAAGGCATGAATCTTTTTCACCCCCTGCTTTTGCTTGATTTCTTATCTCTATCTGAACTCATTCTTACTCTTTCTGAGTCAAAGGAAGAAATACCTCTTCTTTTCAAAATTAATTTTTCAAGGCCAACAGATGGCTTGGTGGTTAGGGCTGTTAGACTCCCACATGGCTGACTATGGTTCGAGTCCCATGGTCCCTCCCTCTCTCTCTCTCTCTTTCTCTGATCAAGTTAAAATAATAATAAAATGATAATAAATAAAGTTAAATAAAATAATTTTTTTAAAAAACTAATTTTTCTACCATGCTTTTGTAATAGGTTGCTCTTGTGTCCTCTGGGACAACCTGCCTCACTGTGATTTTGGCTTGTACTGCCTCCTTCCATGTATCATAAACCTGCTGAGCAAGGAACAGTAGCAGCATGAAGGTAATGGTGGTCAGTTCTCCCTGAGATTGGCAGTGGTGTTGGTGGATTGTTCAACAGATTGCTGTCTTTCAGGCCTACTGGTTAAGGGAATTAGATCCCACATGGCCAACTGCATGGTTCAGATCCCACTTCCATGGCTTAAAAAACATGCTGGGCAGTGCCAGCAGGTGGCATGCTCGTTAATGTACTGGACTCTCATATGGTGGACTGTGGTTCAAGTCCTGGACCTGGTGTCTTGCTTTCTCATGTTCTCTCTCTCTTTGGTGCATGTATGTGTCCTATAGCAAATTAAAAATAATAATTAATAAAATTAGTTATTAAAAACCCACACACTGGGTGCATATGTGGATGCCCACCCCAATTTGAAAAGGATGGAGATATTGAGGAGAAAGGATTCTGTCAATTCTTTGTCTCTCTGATGAGCACACATGCCTTCTAGCACCTGAAAAAGAAAAAGAGTTGGTGTCTTTCTCCAGTTGAAAACACATCACCTCTATCTGTTGCCCACTCTCTCTGGTCCTGGCCTTGAAAGATTCACAGCTGTCTCCTGCCCCTTCAAATAAATATAACTCCATGTTTGCTGTTTTAATTGTCATAGATGCTAGGGATAGGACTGAGTGTGAGTTCCAAGTCATAGTAAAGAAGGAAAAAATACAGGATGAAAAAGAATCAGTTCTCACATAGCTGTGAGATTCTGTCACTCCCGGACACACATCCAATTGAATTACTTGCTTAGAGCATCTTAGAATTGAACCCAAATTAGGACACCCATTTTTGTAGAACTTGTGCTAGCTTTGTTTTTCACTGTTAAGCTCCTCCAGTAAGAGATAAACAACAGCTTATCCAAGCAGCCCAATAAACATTGTGGGTTTTATCTTTGTACAGATTAGAGCAAGGACATTCAAGCTTAATAGCCTCAATAGCAATCTCTGACTTTAGTTTCTATCCAAGAGCCTTAAACAGGAAAGAGAGAGAAGAAATTAATAAAAGAGCTAGTATGTTATATGTAAAAAAAATTAATGTGTTTCTTATTTATGACAAGAATTTTCCAGTTACTCTCTGGAGAACCTCATCAACATTACTGAGCTGTTGAGAAGCAACCTGTAAAGCTGAGTGACTTCTAGCCATAGATTGCTTTAAAGTCATAGTTAGAAGCCTGAGGCAGGAAGTAAGGTGCATTTGGTTTTATTTTTTATTAATTATTTAATTTTAATTATTATTATTATTTAATTTGACCAAAGAGAGAGAGGGAAAGTGAGAAAGCGAGCTGCCAGGTCCAGGACTTGAGCGGCGGTTGACCACGTGGAAGTTCAGTGCCTTAATCACCATGCTATCTGCTGCCCCCTAAGATGTATTGGTTAATTTAAAAACTCAGGCTAGACCATGGCCTGATGGCCAAGGGAACAGGATCCAACTGCACAGTTCAGGTCCTTACCTAGGCAGCTTAAAAAACATGCTTAGTGTGTGTGTGTGTGTGTGTGTGTGTGTGTGTGTGTCTGTGCGTGCGCTCACGTGCACACGTTCTCACATGTGTATGCCTAAAATCTTGACAAAATGGAGAAGGGATTGTAACATGACCATGCCTCATGGGAAGGGAGTGCTTTCTCTTTCTGTGTGTGTGTGTGTCCCACTGGTGAGCACATGCACCCTATTACAAAAAAACAAATCGTAGGAGTTACTACTTGGGAAAATATAAATACAGTTTATGCTATTAAAAGGATCTAGTCTAGGATGAGGTAGGAAGTATTTACTGAAAGGTTATCTTACAAGGAGAATGTTTTTGTTATTTACCCAGTTAGACTCAGTTTTTCTTGTTTGTTTTTTGGTTTGGGGGTTTTGGGGTTTTTTTGAGAGGTTTGTGCTATAAGGCACGTACGCTTGCCAGAGAGACAGAAAGCGAAAAATCACCTCCCGGGGGAAGGGCCACACAGCAATCCCTTTTCCTACATTCTCCTCTCGGGATCTTGGGCATGCATGCACACACGCCCAGTGTGAGTTTAAGCCGCCAGTCCGGGACTCTAACCATTGTCGACTACATGGGAGTCCAGCAACATAGCCATTACGCCAACTGCTGGTCCCCAGACTCAGAGTTTATTGAGAAGGGAACCATTCATATTAGAAAAAGAATTCCCCAGTATATTGCTAAGCACAAAGTAAACATTCAACACATACTGAACTGATTTTCTATTGTACCTTATTCTTCCATCCTCCTCACATTTTTGCCTTTTTTTCTTTGTATTTCCATTTCTCCATGCCTCCTATTGCACTCTGGTACTTGTGATTCCTCAGATCCATCTCACCTGTGCTCTTAGCCTTTGTATAAGCGAGAGCCCCTTTCCCTTCTGTTCCTCAGAGGAAGCAGAATGCTGCTCATCCTTGAAGACTTAATTTCAAAAATTACTTCTGCCCAGTGAGCTCTCTGCTCTGCTTATAACTCCTTTAGGCTTCAGCTTAGAGGCTGCTTTCTCAGAGAGGCTTTCCCTGACACTTCAGAGTTATTACAAATTATGTCATCTTATTTTTTCATAGCATTATTTCTATTATAGCACTTATCACAATTTCTAGTGCTATATATGTTTTATAGACACATGCACGCACACATAGTTATAATGTTTACTTAACATCCACCTCCCCTAGTAAGCTCTTTGAGAACAGAGGAGGTGGACCTTTTTTTGGTTCAGTATTTTGTATGTAGATTGGGGCTGAACATTCAATACTCAATATATGCCAAATGAATGACTCACCACCTTTGAGAAACATTCTCTAACTTTTAGCACTTAACTTTATTATGACATTTGTTACAGCGATGCTTCATCTCACTAGGTCATTAGCTACACATGATTGCAGTTCATATACTTCAAAACATGCTCATTCATGCTTTCTTTTCTCATACTTTACCCCGGAGATTAAACTCTGCTTTAGGGTCATATGCCTTTTTGTTTGTTTGTTTGTCTTGGAGAGATTTTTGCTATAGGGTGTGCGAGCTTGCCAGAGAGACAGAGACAGAAAGCAAGAAATCACTCCTCAGGGGAGATGACCATGCTGCAATCCCTTTCCCTCCTTCCTCCCCGTAGGACTCTGGGCATGCACGCACATGTTCCCAACGTGAATTTCAAGCTGCCGGGTCCAGGACTCAAACTACAGTTGACTACTTGGGAGTCCAGCAATGTAACCACTACACCAACTGCTATTTCCATAGGGACACATAACTTTGTGTGTGTGTGTGTGTGTGTTTAAAGAGAGATGACACATTACTTGTGCTTTTTTTTTTTTAAGAGAGATTTTTGTTAAAGGGTGCATGTGTTCACTGGAGAGACAAACAGAGACAGAAAGCGGGAAATCACCCTCCCCCCAGGGGAGATGGCCACATCGCAAAACCTCCTCCTCCATTCTCCTCTAAGGATCTTGGACACGCACGCACATGCACCCAGCGTGAGTTTTTGCCATAGGGCGGGCGCCACCACGCCCCCCCAGTGTGAGTTTTAAGTCCCTGGGTCTGGGACTCCAAAGGTGGTAGACTATATGGGAGTCTGGCAATGTAATCATTACATCATCTGCCTATCCAACACATTACTTGGGCTTTGAAATGGCTCTGCTTCTGGCTTCTTTGGTGGGCTTCAGCCCCTTCTTTATTTTAAGTACTTAGCTTTTTTAAAAATTATTTTATCTAACTTTATTTATTTATTCATTTAATCTGACCAAAGAGGAACAGAGAGAGAGGAAGAGAGAGGGAAAGTGAGAAAGCAAGCTGCCAGGTCTGGGATTTGAACCACAGTCAGCCATGTGGGAGTCCAGCATTCCTAACTACCATGCCACCTGCTGGCCTTGTACTTAGCTTTTAAGTAAATATCAATTTAACAGTCCTATTGTTCACTCCCTTAGCCTCCCTCCCCCAATTCTACTTCCCTCTTCCTAAAAAATGAAACACTGGGGCCAGCAGGTGACTCACACATGGCTGACTACACTTTGAGTCCCAGACCCAGTGGCTTTTGAAACACAATGGGCACATGTGTATGTGTGCCCAAAATCCTGAAAGGAAAATGGAGGAGATTAGAGGAGAAGGGATTGTAGTATGGCCATCCCCCTAGGGGGTGATTTCTCACTTTCCCTCTCACTGTCTCTATCTCTTTGTCTCTCTCTCTCCAGTGAGCGCACGTACCCTAAGGCAAAAACCTCTTTAAAAAAAAATGAGTGGGACCAGCAGATATCATAATAGGTACTTCACTGGACACCCATGTAGTCAACCACAGACCCAGCAGCTGCTTTATAGAAAGTTGGCATTTAGGGGCCAGCAGATGGCATAATGGCTATGCCACGGGGCTCCCATGTAGTCAGCTACGGTTTGAGTCCCGGACCTGGTGACTTAAACTCACACGTGTGCGTGTGTGCCCAAGATCCCAAGAGGAAAGTGGAGGATAGGGGATTGCAGTGTGGCCATTCCTCCTTTGGGGGGGTGATTTCTTGCTTTCTGTCTCTGTCTTTCCCTGTCTTTCTGGCGAGCACATGCACCCTATGCCAAAAACCTCTCCAAAAAAAAAAAAGTTGGCATTCAGTAACTAGTAAATTAGCTACTTACACCCAAAAGAGCACTGGACTTAAGGTCAAAAGATATGACATAAATTCTAGCCATCCCATTATGTAATATTGTATTGGAAGAGCTAACCAGTGCAGTGGATTGTTTACATTGAAATGATCATATATGAATATATGTTGGAAACATAAGAGGATCAACCAAAAACTGTTAAACAGTGAGAGAGGGGCTAGACAGCAGTACGGTGGTTAAGTGTGATGCTTTGTCAGGCTGACCTACATGGGAAGATTTTAGGTTTGTGCCCAGACACCTCCCTGAGTTTGCTGGACACATGTATGTCCATGATCCAGGACTGGCTAAAGCTGGTGGAGATTACAGTGTTAGGACCCTGTTGGAGGTGCCGCGTGTGTCTCTATCTCTCTCTGACTCTTTTGCTCAAGGAAGAAATAACTTTTGAAAATGAAACAAT